GAAGGGAAAATATCCTTAAGAGCAGAATTTCCCACCCAGAGTTGACATCATACCTGATAAAACTGAGGAATTGAGGAAGGATACTCTGAATTGCTGTTCAAGGAGTTGCCAACGTGGCTCAATGCGATACACCAGCATCCCATCCATTTCCCAAACTGCCATGTATACTATCTATCACCTCATGCCATAGTCTCTCCCATTCTATGGACCACCTCCAAAACCATTTTCCTAATAGAGCTTTATTCTTTAAAACTAAATTCCCTAGACCCAACCCACCCTCCTCTCTCCTCCTACAACCATTCTCCCGTTCTATGGGCCACCTCCACAACCATTTTACTTTTTTATGAACAGAAAATTATAGTAGCAAATTAAAATTGGAAAAGATAGTTCACCATAAAAAGCAATCATATCATAAGAGGAAGAAACTACCTTAACAGGCCACCCGTCCACCACAAAAACATCCAACGAGTAGCCATCATTTGTTGAGAAGACATGTGCTTCACGAATGTTTAGCCCTATGTCAGAAAGCAAAGCAGAGAGCTAGGAGACCATGCAACAAAGTTAGAAGATTTGTGAAGGTACATAAATAAGCTTAAAAAGCACAAAAAATACCATTTTTATATATTGCCAAGCAAACACAAAAAATACCATTTTTAAAGAAAAAAAAAACAGAAATAACAATATTCAGTCCTTCGAGGAATAAAATTTGCTTAGACTTTTTGTTTTACAAAGTATAATTTATATTGCTATAAAAGAAGATTATGACATGTACATCTATGGATAAGTACAATGGGAGACTACAACTAAAATTGTAAGAACATAACTTATCCAGGATGTTAGTTATGACCAAAAGTAACATGAAAGTCAAAATATAAGGTGTAGGAAGCCCTTCAAGGACTACAACTCGGTTATAGATCTGGCTGGGGTGTATTAAAATCTATTAAGGTGTCGGTGGCTTTAGTTGGGCATCTCGTCTCAGATTGGGTCTGGTGACCCCAGTGATTGAACAGAGTAGCAGTCAAGATTTGGGGGAGATCTAGTAGAATGTACTTGTTTTTCAGATTTAAACCCCATAATGCAGTTAGGATAGACTTTTGTAAAGTACTTTTGTGATTTTGGAAGAAAAAATAGATATGAAGTATGTTTTGGCATTTAGATGATACTGTTTTCAGAAATTCAAACACCAAAAGTGGGATCACATAAACATATAAAAAATAATAAATTAAAAAAAAAAGTTCCTGTTCAAGTGAATATCAAGGTTAGGAAATAATATTGCAAATGATCATGTAAGGAAAGGGGTAACCAGGGACAATGATATTGGGAGAACCAGGCCCATCAGTGAACTTGTAATAAGGTGTTTCATTCTGTTTTCATGTATGTTGTCAACCTTCAGATGTTTTATCAATTCCCTTATTTCAATCTTCTGGAAAGAGAGTTCCTATTATTTCAATAAAATTTTAAATTGCTGTTGCTGGTAACAAAAACTCACCAGCATTCATCTTGTAATGAAGATCATTTTTTTAGTCAAGGTAACAGATTCAAGTCTCTTCATCCATTTTTAAGAAAGCAAATTATACTTAAAGACTATCACAGGCATACCCATCCAAGTACGGTGAGGGCTTATACATTGTGACACCCAACAGCTAAAAATAAAACAAAGAACCAAAAGGGAAAGAGGTTATCCCATTTATACTCCATACCCTCCAGAGAAAATCGCTTCAACTTTTTTATTAAAATAATGATAACTAATATCATAAATGGTTTGCAACAAGTAGAAAAGTTTTGATAGCTGTTTCGATATAAACTTTGTGAAAAAGAAGAAAGAAGAAGGGAAAAGTTTCTGCAAGAAAAGAAAAAAAATGAGAAATAGAAGAGAATGAGAGGAAGCCAAAAAATCAGATCTGGCCGCCCCTTTCCTTTTAATTTATAGACTCATAAAAAAGTGTACAAGCACAAGTATGCCCTTGGTAAGTCGGCTACTTGTAGGAAGCTAGAAAACACACTTAACATAAACTAATGGGCCTAAGGCCCAATAACTTCTTAACTAAGTTATATAAATAAAAATAAATAAAGTCAGCCCAATAACTCAACACTCCCTCAAGTTGGGAATAAATGTCACACATTCTCAACTTGCGTAGATCATGCTCCAGCTTGTTTCTTGCAACACCTTCTGTAAGAACATTAGCAAGTTGCACATCAGATGCAACATATGGCAATCAAACTTCCCCTGAAGTCACCCTTTCTCTTATAATATGTCTGTCAACTTCAATGTGTTTCATCCTATCATGCTGAATTGGGTTGTGGGTGATGTTAATTGCTGCTTGATTGTCACAGTATAGCATCATAGGTTCTTCTGCCTCAATTCTAATCTCCCCTAACAAGGAATGGATCCAAAGGAGCTTTGAAACACCATGTGTCATGGCTTTGTATTCAGCTCCTACACTTGACCTTGCCACAACTGTCTATTTTTTACTCTTCCATGAAACTAGATTACCTCCAAAAAGAGTGCAAACTCCTGATGTAGATCTCCTATCATCGAAACATCCTGCCCAATCAGCATCTATGTAAACCTCTAGCTTCAACTGTCCATGGTCAGCAAACAATATGCCTCTACCTGGGTGTCCCTTCAAATAATAAAGTATCTTGTCAATAGCCTCCTAATGTTGAACTCGTGGGGCATGCATGTATTAACTCACCACACTCACTGCATAAGAGATGCTTGGTCGTGTCATACATAAGTATAGCAACCGCCCCACTAATCTCTAATACCTCCTAACATCCTTCACTAGTTCACCTTCCAAAGCATTTATCCTGTGGTTCTGATCAATAGGTGTATTAGCCACCCTTGCCCCAAGTTTCCATGTCTCCTGTAGTAGATCTAGAACATACTTCCTCTGTGAGATGAAGATTCCATGCTTTGATCTTGCCACTTCAATGCCCAAAAAGTACCTCAGCTCCCCAAGATCCTTAATTTCATGTGTAGATTCTTCTTCAATGTATCAATCACATTCAGGTCATTTCCTATAACTACAATGTCATCCACATACACTATCAAAATTGACACCAGAGACCCCCTCCTCTTCACAAACAGAGTATGATCTGATTGGGTTTGAGTATAGCCAAAACCAATCAATGCTCTTCTAGACCTATCAAACAAAGCTCTTGGTGATTGTTTCAAATCATATAGAGACTTCTTTAACCTACATACCTTTCCCTTTTCCACATCATTGTAGAAACCAGCTGGAAGATCCTTATACACTTCTTCTTGCAAGTTCCCATTGAGAAAAACATTCTTCACATCAAGTTGGAAGAGTGGCCAAGAGTATGTAATTGCTAGTGATAGACGAATCTGGACTGAGCTCATCTTTTCCACTGGTGCAAAAGGTTTCTAAGTAATCTATGTCATAAGTCTGAGTATACCCTTTTGCAACTAGCCTTGCCTTGTACCTTTCTATACTTCCATCTGCCTTATATTTCACTATATAAACCCATCTGCATCCAACTGTCTCCTTGCATTCTAGTAGATCCACAATCTCCCACGTCTGATTCTTAATCAAAGCTTTCATTTCCTCCTGCATAGTTGTCTTCCACTCAGGTTTGGAGATAGCCTCACTAACACCCTTGGATATGGACACGGAGTCGAGGGAGGAAAGGAAGGCCCGATAGAAAGGAGATAGTCCACTATAGGAGAGATAGTGTAAGATGCAATGAGCAGTACACTTTCTCTTCCCTTTTCTAGAGTGCAATAGGAAGGTCAAGGTCATTTGCAATGGGGTTAGTAGTATCAATAGGAACTAAACCATCAAAGGAAGCAAGTGGCATACCTGGATCAATGTCAGTCGAACCTGGAGTCTCTGAGGAGTCGATAAGAAGTGATGTGGGTTCTTTTATGGAATCAACTTCCCTGTGTAGTCATAGACGCTGTCGTGTAAAACACTGAGAAACAGGACGCAAGGGAGGTGGTAAAATGGGTGAAATAGGAGGGTTGGACACTGGAGTTGATAAAGGGGTTGGAACCGGAAGTGATATAGATTGCTCACTTCCTTCCCCAAAACTAGACCTGTTCATGGGTCGGGCCGGGCCGGGCTTTTACTCTGTATTAACAATTTTTTTTAAGGCCCGAGCCCGAGCCCGGCCCGACCATCGGGCCTACAATTTGGGCCCGAGCCCGGACCTCATAAAAAGCCCGAAGCTCGAGCCTAGGCCTGGGCCCGAAATTTAGCCTATATTATTATTATTATTAATGTTGAAGCAGCTGAATAAAGAGAGAGATAGATTGAAATTATAAAGAAAAGAATAAAATATATATATATATATTAAATTATAAATATATATTTTAATAAATAT